CAGGAGCCCCACTCAGTTGCCCCTCCACTCTCCACTCTGCCCACAGAAAGTGGGCAGAGCTATAAGTGCATAACATACCCAAGCACTTATTTATTGGTGATTCATATGAAGCCTTTGTTCTTTGCAGTTACTGCAATGTCAATTCAAATTAATTTTAAGGATGATTTGTATGGGTATCGGGGGATAGATAACTGGAGTTTAGGCAACCATCACCCAAAAGAACTCACTGAAGATGCTAGAAGGGAAAATTTAAATTTGTATGAACTGCCTTCTCCTGCTACTCTTGAAGTGAAATTCTGCTTTTTGTTTCCACCTGCTGTGGGAGAAACTGCCACATCCTAGAAGATTAAATTTACTCTAGTTATTCTGCAGGGTGGTTAGTGGCACAGTGAATAAACACCTCGCCCTCTGCTCTCTAGAATCTTTCAAATGCTCTTCACCTTGAGCACAAGGGAGCCTGCAGAAGGCACCTATTTGAGGGAGGAGGAGAAAAAAGGGTAAGTTTCTGCAAAGCCAAGCCCTTGCTCTTAACCCCGAGTCACTTTGGGGAACACCAGGCCCTCACGCCCCAGATTTCTATTGACATCTCCTGTTTTAAGGAGGAAACAGGTATTTCCTGACACTCCGATTTCAGCCTTCAGAGGCTCTTCAGGCTCTCTTGAAGCTGAGTGCCCTCTCTACCACTTCACTTCTAAGAAAGAGGAGAGAGCGAAAATACCTCTAAAGAGAGCCAGTGCATTTCCTAGATAAGCAGCAGTTACAGAGCTGTTGTTGAATTTCATAAACTTCCTGTTAGAAATGAGGAGTGGCAGGCACCCTTGGAAGATGGAAAAAATAGGAAAGAAACTTCCTGTTAGTAAAATCAGTTAAGAACATCTGGAAATCCATTATGTTCTCTTTTTATCTGAACTGAAATCTCAACTCTCATATTTAAACACTCACTCAATATAATAAAAAACCATTAATAGAATGTTTTCCTCCAGTTAACAATCACTCGCAATCAGGAATTTACTGGTTTATAAGTTGTTTTTTTTGGTGAATGTTTGCAAAGAGGCAAAGGTCATGATCTAGGTAAGTCAACCTCTTCTTCCTGACCTAGCTCTCCTCCAGAAATAGCCCAAATCAATAAATATATAAGGACAGAATAGCATCGAAGATAGACAAATCAGAAAAAAAAAAGTGTTAAGAAAGATGACAACAAATGAAGTTAAAGAAACTGAAGAACGAATATTTATTACATCTCTTTTGTTTGCCAAGATCTTTGATATGTGTTTTACATTAAAAAGTGAAATATTAGACAGTTTCTATTTTTAAAAATAATAATATATTGGAATAGTATAGAATATCTTTTAAAAATGATAGTATATTAAGACCATTTATAATTTGAGTAAGTCAGAGTTTGGATAAAATCCAGGAGTTTAAAGTCACTTTTTATCTATTTTGAAATGGACTTTTATACTTGCTGGATATTTTTTAAAAGAAACTGGATATTGAGAATATTCTTAAAAATATATAAGAAAAATCAGTGCAGTTTTAAAATGTCTTTCCTATCATCCTCCCTCCGGATTTTGGCTTTCTTCTTCTCCCAAGCACAGTGTTCATGCCTGTCTTTTGCCCCCTGATTCTTGAAACCAGACCTGTCTTATTCATATATGGAAGGTGGCCCTCGGGCCAAGCTGACACAGCCTCCCTCAGCAGATTGGAGGAAGTGGGGTGAGGGGTGCCCTCTGGACAGCCCTTTGCTGGCCCTCTGGTGGAAAATTGGGTTTCCTAACCAGTTTGGGAAAGTGGGACAGGCAAAGAAAGCTGTCAATCATGGATGGGTGCAGTGGTGCACACCTGTAATCCAAAGGGTCTAGAGGCTAAGGTAGGAGCATCGTGAGTTCAAAGCCAGCCTCAGCAAAAGTGAGGTGCTGAGCAAGTCAGTGAGACCCTGTCTCTAAATATAATACAAAATAGGGCTGGGGGGATGTGGCTTAGTGGTCAAGTGCCCCTGAGTTCAATCCCCAGAACCCCCTCTCCCCAGCGCCCCCGCAAAAAAAAGAGGTCGACCCTTTCACTTTTGGCTGAATATTAAGCCAGAATTCCCAAGGCCATCGCCCTGCACATTTTGAAGAAGGTGGGGCTTTACATGCGTTCATATCCTCTATTGGGCCTCTTTCTGGCCACCAGGCATGCGGTTAGCCAAATGACAAGTAGTCCTGCGATACTCAGGCCCACGGCCACAGGGATCTCTCTCCTGTTTCTGTCACTGAAGCATTCATCCGCTGTAATTGAAGTCAGAGTAACAGGTGTTATAGGCTGGCCACAAAAGCTGGGAAGTGATACTGCCCCTGTCTGTCTCAGTGTCATAGAAAAGGAAACTGAAAGAGAGGTGGAGCTCTGGGCCTCCACCTGCTGCCTCAGACAACAGATGGGTGAAAGCAGGAAGGAAAAGGATCAATACAGTGGATCTGAAATGGGTAGGGCTGGTAGTTGCTTAAGGAGTTTATTCAAAGGTAGATCTACAGGTCCCATGCCCAGGAATATGGAATTTAGTGGGGCTGAGGTGGGGCCTGGGGACTCCGATGCAGCTGGGAGGCAGATCCAACCTTGGGCAACACTGGTTTGGTCTAGAGGGTTATGACTGGAGTCCTGTTCTAACTCTCAATCCAGATGAGCCCTGGAGCTGGGTCCTCCAACTCCAGAAAAGGGTTCCTGTACCCAAGTTTTCTATTCAAACTCTTTTCTTCTTAAAGGGGCTGCTGGAACAACCTGGTGTTCTTTGGATGACAGAAAATTTAAAAACAACAACAAAAAATATGTAAAAAGAGAGCAAAAGTAAACTTCTTGTGGGCTCCCGTGTCCTAGGGAGAAGAGGTATGATGCGAGGTCAGTGTCTGAGGTTTGGGGTGATCTTTTCTTTGACAAGGCTGAACTTTTGTACTTGTTGGATTCCTCTCCATTTAAATGTCAACCACTGGCCAAGATTTCCCTAACTCCACCCTCCGTCTGCCACCAATGCTGTGTCAATCGAATCTTCCTCTATACCTCAGTAGCCCTTTCATGTCTTTTTTTTTTTTTAAATTATTTTTTTAGATGTTGATGGACCTTTATTTTATTCATTTATTTATATGTGGTGCTGAGAGAATCAAACCCAGTGCCTCATACATGCTAGACTAGCACTCTACCACTGAGCCACAACCCCAGCCCCTGCACATGTCTTTTTTAGCACCATATTTTACAATAGCCTGATCCTTTTGATCACCATCTCTCATTCTCTGATAAAAAATACTACTTAGGTGGTGGCGCATGGCTGTAATCCCAGTGTCTTGGGAGGCTGAGGTAGGAGGATCACAAGTTCAAAGCCAGCCTCAGCAACTTAGTGAGGCGCTAAGCAACTTATCAAGACCCTGTCTCAAAATAAAAAACAAATGGCTGGGCATGTGGCTCAGTGTGAAGCGCCCCTGGGTTCAAACCCTGGTACCAAAAAACAAAACAAATGAAAAAATAACCCCCCCAAAATTGTTAAAGGAATGACATAAATCTTCCCATTTGAGCATGTGTAGGGAGATTTGAATAGCAAAGGCCAGGAAAATGGAGTTGAGCTCCAGCAGTGATGGTGGGGTAAACGAGAATATTCTGGCAGTAGAATCAGTAGGGCTTTGTGAGCGTTTGGTGAGAGGGTGGAAGAGAAGAGCGAAGGATAACGGAGCCTCTTGCTTGAGGACTCACCAATGAACAGTGAGTTTTAGGAAAACAAAGTAAAAAAAAAAAAGAGCTTCTCTCCATCTGCTTTTTAGCACTGATAATAGGAGCCAGGTGTGTGTTCCTGAAAGGTTTGATTCCCCAGCCCTGCTCGCTTCCTGCGTCACAGAGGTTCTGATGGGGAAGATGAGCAAATGTGGGCCTCATTTTAATTTCACATGATCAGTCATGGAGGGTTTCAAACCTTCATCATGTGCTTTAGAAAAATACTTTCCCTACATTTGAAGTTTTGAGACCAGCTGACAAAGTGTTTGTTGCTAATTTTACTATTTAACCTGAGTTCTAAATTTTACTATTTAACCTGACTGTAAAACCTGCAGAAATCAGGGCTCCAAGGTGAGCAAGGCCTGATGCCTTAGTCTGCTAAGTGTTTCCCACTACATTGGAGGTGTTTTCTGCTAGACACATCTTTGATTTTATAATGAAACCCAATGTGAAATCAGATTCTTACTATAGAAATTTAATATATGGCTAAACTTCTAGCTTAACCTATTTTGGATAATTGAGAAGAACTTATATAAGATTTTTGATGTCTCCTGTGAGGGATATTTTAGAAATTGAAGCTCACAAGCCTCTGATCATGAGTAGGAAAACTTGTGACCCTGCTTTCTGGGTGGGGAGAAAAAGGCTTTTCTGGAAAGTCACCCTACTCTGCTCCTGGCCCTTGTCCAAGGGCTGGTTTCCTTCCTGGGCAGCATCAGGCAAGCTCTGCCTGTGGTGGTTCAAACCCAAAGCAGAAGTTAGATGGAAACTAAAACTAACTATGGGGAAACACTGTTGGGTAGAACAACCCGTAACTGAGAAGAGGGGATCCAACAGAGTTTCTTTCTTTTTCAAATTTTGCTCCTTTCCTTCTGCAGGTGGGAAAGAATCTATTCTGAAAGCTTCATTCACTAATTCTCAGAATCTATAAAGTGTTCTCCAAACATGCCAGAGTTCCCCCAGGGCTCAGTAGCATGTATAAGGGATATCACAGATGTTCTTCCTGATGGATTGCGTGTGTGCTGAAATGAGTGAGAATGTGTTTTGGTTGGACAATGTGAATGCATCCTGCTGGGAGAGAGCTGTGAGTGTGCATGAGTTAAGGCATCTGGTTCTGAGGAGAGAGTGGCCAGGGGGAACTCTGTCCTTAGAGCTTTGTGGATGTTTCTATTCTAGAAAGCTCATGTAATTCCTGCCCCTTAGACAGCATCAGATAGAACTTGACTTGGAAGTGAAGCCTATGTTTGTGGCTTGATGAACATTTAACTTACCATTTCCAAAGTGATCTCCTTCGAAGTCGAAGGCTTGAAGTTGGACGTTCATTGTTTTCAGCTGAAGCTGTGGGGACAGCTGGATGCTCTGTTCACTCACACACTTGAAGGAATGCCCAACCACCGTCTCAAACATCATCACAGCACTTTTCATGCCTTTGTAAGCTTTCTCTGAAGAGAAAAAGTGAAATTTACCTATAAAAAAATTCTGGCCTTTCTCCACTGAGTCCCAGTTGTTGCTGGGCGGGGAGAAAAATGTGACCCACGTGCCACATGAAAGGACTTTCTTTAGATGTGGCTCTCTGAGGGTCCTGCTACCTTCTCCTCATGAAAAAAATACCCTTATTTTTTGGGGAGGCTCTGGAGTATAGGGGAAATGTCTCACAGAAATGTTGAGGATTCTGAAGTGAGAACTTTGAGGAATGCTTCCTCCAGTTCTTTTAAATCACTGGAGATGGTTGTCAGTGCTTAAGAGGTACCCACAGAAATTTTAATAATAAGAGAGGACTGCTCTCTGACACAGTCACAAGAGCCCTTAGTGACCCAGAGCAGAGATAGGCAAAGTCAGCAAGTGGAGCGTTCGCATATCACTGGCTGAGTGCATAATAGAGTAGGAGGAAGAACTCAGCAGGAGAGGATGTTACATCCACCCATGGAAACTGAGAAGGGCAGGGCCTGTGTCTTCTCTTCTGAATGCTATCCTCAGTCTTCCTTGCCTATAAGCCCTATGTGCTTGGCCTGAAGGTCCCTCAGACCTCACTGGCTGTATGTTTCTTCTCTTGGACACACTGGTGCCCTGCTGGCCCTTGGCACCCCAGCAAGCTACTTGGTAGAGTGCTCAAGGACAGGCCCTGTCTTATGACAGGTGCACCCTCTTCAGGGAGGTGATACTTCAAGGTAGATGGGGTTAAGGATTTTAATCACATAATGAAGTTTATTGGCTCTAATTCCACACTTGTCAAGCACCCTTCTTCCTGTCCATAGTTAGGCTTCTTGAATGGGAAAAAACTCGTTGGCCAGAGGACCCAACTGTCTTGTCTTCTTGGCCATTATAGCGAGAAATAGCCATGTGATCAATTAACAAGTTGGCATTAAGGTCTACATTTCATGTGCAAATGCCCTAGATGTTTCCTACATATGACCAGGAGTAACTCCTAACAGAGAAGAGAGGATCAACAGAGTCTTTCTTTCTCAAATGACTGCATCTTGCTCTTTTCCTTCTGGAGGTGGGAAAACTTGTGAAAAAAACTGTGAAACTTGTGCATATTACTGTATCATGTGATCCTGATCCCTCTCTCCCCACACTCATGGTCTATTATCACCACTCCACTAAAAGTGTGACTGCATTAATACTACAACTACGACTGATTGCTGCTACTAATAGCACCATCACAGCCACTGTCACTATAGCTCCTGTTGCCAATGCTAAGTCTTGATCATTGGGACCTGGGATCATATTTCCCCTTCATCAGCATCTAAATTAATTTCTGGTCTGACTTTCCCTTCCCCTGACTCTTAAGATGACTACCTTATCACTGGCAAAAATTTGATCCACGCCTAGTGATAACATCAGTTAATTTATGTTAGCACTCACATATTTATTCCCCAGCCTATATGAGACAGATTTGAGTAATGCACATGAAAATATGTTCTCAATATGATATTTTACTTACATTTAACCAATAATCATTAACAAAATCCTCCTGAACAATATCAACATAATATAGTAAATATTTTAAATAGATGTTACCCCACATTTTCATTTTTTTGGGCCAGTTTCTTTAGTGTAATTTCTTAATTAATAGAATAATGTTTAAGCTAATCCAAAGGTAGAACTTTGAAAAGGAGAAAACAGACACAAAATCCAGTGTCTGCACAGAGAAAGTGGGTCAATACAGGTGTGTTGTCTAAGAGTAGGTTTTCTGGGGAAACATCCGGGGCCTTTGGGAGACTCACTGGACTTTTTTGGAAGCATGACTGGTCCAGTAGTGAACACTGTAGGAGCCCCCCATGGGTAATTCTCCATACAGCAGCCAAAGTGAATTTATAAACATAAATCGGATATATCATTTTCCTACACCAAATCCTCCCACAGCATCCTTTCACACTTTAGAATAAATCCAAAGTCCTCAGTTTGCTTTCCACACAGGTGCTGCATACTCCAGCCTGGTCATCCCCCAGACCTCGTGGGTTGTGAGTTCCCTGTCTTGGGTGCCGAAGTGCCCTGCTGGTCCTTAGGTGCTATAGTAAGCCCGCTTGGTACAGCCTGTGCATCTATTGTCCTGCCATCAGAAAAGAGCTTGCTCAGGCCCAGATAGTCCTAAATGGTGATATCTGCTCAAACCTCACCTCTTCAGAGCTGCCTTCCTCCCCTGAGGATTCCCTAAGGCTGATCAGAATCAGCTTTCCATTTCTCTCCACTACTCATAGAAGGTACCAGCCCTTAATAGTGTCCTATAATTTAATGTGTTCGTGTGGGGTCCCCTCCCTTTCCAGAATGTATGTTCCATGAGTGCAGGAATTATCAGTTGGAATAATTAGGGATCCCTAATGGCTAATAACAAATGGAGCTTGGCCTTCTCTTTATTTTCATAGAACAAGTGTGTGATCCCAAGTGTAGAGAATAATTTGCTCTACTGAAACAGCCCCTTTGAAAGTAAAAACTCCCATTTTTTTTTCACTTCTAAACTTTTTCATACTGAGAATGGAGGCTGAGGGGCTGTCCCTTGGCCCTGACTGCTCTAGGTAATCTGAGACTATGACATATTTCTGATTTACACAGCTAAATCTACATGTTTGTCTCCTGCTTTTTGTTTCTGTGTCCCTTCTCTTTTAAAAGTTTTCTGTGACTAAGTGAAGTGGCACCCCTTTAATCCCAGCAATTTTGAAGCCTGAGGAAGGAGGATGGCAAGTTTGAGGTCAGTCTCTTCAACTTGGCAAGGCCCTAGGCAACTTAGTGAGACCCTGTCTCAAAAGTTGGTGGTGGGGTCTGGGAATGTAGCTCAGTGGTGAAGTGGTCTTGGGTTCAATCCCCAGACACTGCCCCCCCCCCCAATCCTCCACCCCCACCAAAAAAAAAAAAAAGTTTTCTATTCTCCTGAGTCCTGGAAGATGAGCTTTGAAACAGAAAGATCTCTATCTTTCTTCCTCAGAGCTGGTTTTGAATAAAAACCTCTTTTTCTTTCTCACCAACCTGCCTCTTGCTTTTTTTTTTTTCTTTTTTTCTTTTTTTTGGTACTGGGGATTGAACTCAGAGGCACTTACCCACGAGCCACATCTCCAGTCCTTTCTATATTTTATTTAGAGAGTGTCTCACTGAGTTGGTTAGGGCCTCGCTAAGTTGCTGAGGCTGGCTTTGAACTTGTGATCCTCCTGCCTCAGTCAGTAGGAAGCGCATGCAGGTAGCAAATTCCCCCAGAGTTCTCTTGCAGGCTACTTCATTATTATTATTATTATTATTATTTTGTAGTTGTAGATGGACAGCATGCCTTTATTTTATTTAGTTATTTTATGTGGTGCTGAGGATTGAAAGCAGGACCTCACATGTGTTAGGCAAGCGCTCTGCCACTGAACTTAGCCCCAGTCCCCTACTTCCTCATTTTGTTTCTTAAAAAGCAGCATCAAAATTAGCAGATTCAAAGATATGAAAAATAAGCTAACCAGAAGCAGAGTATTATGGCTGCTCGAACAGCCATTCTCTAAGTACCAACCTGGATTTGAGACGGTCAAATAGGCTTCCACTTCACTGATATAATACGAATTTTCTTCCTGTAAAACAGCAGCGTGTTAACCTATGGGTCATCTCCATTTTTATGTTTATGATTCTGGCTTACAAACTTGTGTTGTCAGAATTCCAGCTATTATATCATTGATGTGGGGGCTGGGGGCACATGGATACTGAACCACAATGGTGTTAGAGAATTTCAATAAAATAAACACACCATATCATAAATATAAAAAATAAGTAATGGCTTCTTTCTGGCCCTGGACTTTCTATGGCTTACTTGTCACTAGACCCTGAAACTCAATTCCACTAGTATAATTTGAGTCCTTTCAGTAGTGCCAAGTTTCCCCTTTGAAGTGCAACTACATTGGGAAGGTGAAAGGGTTGGAGGGACACATATGAGCTTTTCTAATAATTTATGTCTAAGGGAAGGAGTTCTTAACTTGACAGCACTCATCCCCAAGGGTAAAATTCATGGGATACAAGAACCCTCTGGAAAAATAAAGTATGCAAAATTGTACATGCATTTTCTTCCATGAGATGTCAATTTCTTGAAAGAAATTAATAGGCCCATGTTCTCAAAATGGTAAAATGGGACCCACAGGAGAGATTCTGGGAAGAAACCTTTTACCTTAGAAGAGGACCCCAATTTAGAAACACAAAGTAATATCACAAACTTTATTTAGGGGTAGTCCTTTTGGACAAAACAAATGAACTACAAAGTAACTATAACCTCCTCAGAGTGTAAAACAATCAAAGGAATTGAATTGGGGTATGAAAGGGTAAAATGAAAATGGAATTTATTTCTTTGGTGCTGGGGATTTAATCCTTGGGTATGATGCATTCTATCATCGAGCTACAATGTCAGCCTGTTTTCTGTTTTTTTTTTAAAATTTTTTAATATTTATTTTTTAGTTTTTGGTGGACACAACATCTTTATTTGTATGTGGTGCTGAGGATCGAACGCAGGCGGCATGCATGCCAGGCGAGTGCGCTACCACTTGAGCCACATCCCCAGCCCCTGTCAACCTGTTTTCTGTTTTTTAAAGTTGGTGATTTAGACTATTCTCATATGAAAGAAGTGCAAAAAGTGGCAGAGTAATCAAAATTGGAATCTGAAGTCAAATTACTTTTTAAAAAGTTTCCAGTCTAGTTGTTAAAGAAATTTAATATCCTTCCTTCCTTCCTTCCTTCCTTCCTTCCTTCCTTCCTTCCTTCCTTCCTTCCTTCCTTCCTTCCATACTGGGGAATGAACCCAGGGGTGCTTAGCCACTGAGCCACATCCCCAGCCCTTTTTATATTTTATTTAGAGACAGATATTACTAAGTTGCTTAGGGCCTTGCTAAATTGCTGAGGCTGACTTTGAACTGTGATTCTCCTGCTTCAGCCTCCTGAACCGCTGGGATTACAGGAATGCACTACTATGCCTGCAACAATAATAATTTTAACTGCATTATAATCCATTTGTCTATTATTCATGGATGAAATGATTCACTGCATGTTGTTTTAGCAAGGTCACCAATACTGACACACTGACCTCTAGATCCTACAACTTTTTGATTCACTGTTATAGTTTGGATCAGGAATATTCCCCAAAGGCTCACGTGATAAAGGCTTGATCCCGGCTGGTGGTGCTATTGGGAGGTGATGGAAACTTTAGGTGGGGCCTAGTTGGAGAAGTAGGTCACTATGAGGTTAGCATCTTTGCTCCAATAACCTCCCTGCCCTAATGTTCTGCTAATAGGCCCGGAATCATTCAAGTCAAGTCATCATGGACTGCAAATTCTGAAACCAGAAGCCCATTAAATATTTCCTCCTCTTAATTGATTTTGTCTCAGTGACGGAGAGCTGACTAACACATTCACCTACTATGCTAAGAGCCAAGTATATGATGCATGGCATTTTTGGTCGAAAGGTGACGCCAGCTAGCCATTGAGATGATATGATTATGTTAAGATTTGCATTCATATGGATATTGGACTCCTACTGTTCACCTAGGCCGGCTACTGGACTCCTGGAGAGTTCCCATTGGTTGGGGAAGTACAGTAGGAGGGAGTTCCGGAGGAGGAGCTCTCTCTGCGGGTCCGGGAGGAGGCTGCATGGGTGGATTGAAAATCTTCCCGGGCGCATACCGGACATTGGCGGCAGTTTCAAAAAATAAAGTTTGTTCCTGCTTGAGTGGCTCGTGATTTTGTGCCCAGCCAGACTGCGGCACTACTACGCATGCACCTCTTATCTCATGCAAGGCACCTCCATGTATTGCTTTAGTTAATCCTCACAGCTAGGAAAGGAAATGAAGGTTCAGTGCCCAAGGTCTTATCCAAGGTCACAGCCCTAAGAGGTAGCAGAGGAAGATAAAACCTTCAGCTGCCTGTGTCCAAATCTAGCTTTAATTTCTCCTTTATATTTACTCTATGCTGGGCATTGTTCTAGGCCATTGTTCCAAGACCAGACTGCCTCTCTTGAAGTGCTCATTCTCAAGGGGCTTGAAGGCAAGTGGAACAATGTGCTAGACTAGCTATGACCTAGACCTTTTTGGGTGGCTTTTCTACCATTTATTCTTTATTTGAGATTCTTTTATAAAGGGAATTACTTTAGGGCCCATAGTTTGGGTTACAAGACTCTGGTCTATCCTAAAGGCAAAGGGGACCCCCTGAAGGGTTTTAAGCAGGACGGTGATGTAAGCAGGACTTTGTGATTTTGGAAATGGCTTAGGCTGTGGTGTGAGATTAGTTTAAGGCACAGCATAACAGTTACTGTGGGGAGCGATGATGTGGATCAAGATGTTTGATTGCCTCGTGGTTGTGGTGCACTTGCATTGGGATCCCTCTGTGCAAAAGTACAGGTTAACATTGCCCAGTTGCTATGGTGACATCCGCCCATGGTCACTCTGTGCAAAAACTCAGAATTATCAGTTTTAACCCTGAAACTCAGAGACTGACTCCCAGAGAGAGAGGAGTCTGAGCATAGCAAGAGAACCATAATGTCTCATCAGAGTGTGAATTTCAAGCCTGCCTGCTTTGCAGAAACTTTCCCACAAATAACATTTTTTTCTAGGGAGTGCGTACTGGGGATTGAACTCAGGGGCATTTGGCCACTGAGCACATCCCCAGCCCTATTTTGTATTATATTTAGAGAGAGGATCTTACTGAGTTGTGTAGCACCTTGCTTTTGCTGAGGCTGGCTTTGAATTCAAAATTCTCCTGCCTCAGCCTCCCAAGCCGCTGGGATTACAGGTGCACATCATCATGCCTAGCTCTACAAATAACATTTTGGTGAAAAAAAATTATATAATAAACGTGCTGAGCTAGCTCTGGGTCATTGCATCACCATCCAGATGTAATATCTCACTTGGTCTCCATTTTCTTTCTATGTGTGCCTGTTTGTCTCTTCTAATCCTGCATTGCCCCTTGCTGATATCTGAACTAACCATTGTGCAGGTGGAGGCAAGTTGCCAGACTACTCTGAGCCCTCTGGAAAACCTTCTGGACCCTTCTCTTCCCTTTAGCATCTCTCTGACCCATCCTCACCTAAGGAAAGGGTGCTTTGCATTTCTACAAAGGTCCAGTTTGCTAAGTGAACTCTTTTGCCTGTGTTACCCCATTTGCAATATCCCCCAACAACAACCTCCCAAGATAGAATGCATATTATCAGCCGAGTTTATAGCTGAGAGCAAAGAGGTTCAGAGGAGTTAAGCATCTCCCTCAGATTCACATAGCTTATAGGTGAAACCAAGCAGGACAGTGATTACAGGATCCTTTCATACTGTGGGGATAGGTGAAAACTTTGTTATATGAGAACTTTCTTTTCTTTTCCCTGGAATGCAGGAGCTTATAACTGTGTATAGGAAGCAGAACTGGCTACATAAGGGATGTGTGGGGTCTTACACAAAGTGAAAATGCAGGGTCTCATTTAAAATTCATTAAGAATTTTAAGAGTCAACAGCAAATCATTAAAGCAAGCATGAACCCTTTCAAATGCACAGATTTCACACTGAGGAAACCAGCCCCAACAGGAAGGGCTGTCTGTTCTTGGTCCACAAGAATCATATTAATACAATCAAGCTAATGCAAACAATGAGGCTTTGCTCAAGAGATGGTTCACATTCACTGTGAGTTCTTTTTCATGACATTATAGGTCAAAGTCTAGAAACTTCTATCTTGCTGCCTCAAAATTAGCGAAACATTGACTGGGACTGAGCTGATGTCTGTCTTTAGGCTAAAGGAAAAGTATGTCAGGTGAACTCATGTAAACAGGGGGATGTTTAGTTTTCTTAGAATTCTAAGTTTTACATAATTTATACTGCTGATCCCACGTGGATCTTACTCAGATAATGGTGTCCACCTTATTCTGAAGAGTTATGTTACAGGATGTAAAGATAAAAAATTGTCTTAAACTACAGCAAAACACATTTTTAGATTTGGAATTCAAAATCTGGCATAATTCAAATAGGAACAGGCCTGAAGTATATTCTATAGGAGGGTTTGCAAGCTTTTTGTGTAAAGAGCTAGGGAGTAAATATTTTAGGCTTTGTTGTTCCCTGATACAATTCCTCAAGCCTGCCATTGAGCAGCCACAGAGAACACATAGACAACTGCGCATGCTCCAAAACACTTCATTTATGCCCCTGGAAACTTGAATTTCATATACTTCCATGTCAAAGATACCCCACTTCACACACCATTTGAAAAATGTAAAAATCATTTTTAGCTTGCTGGCTATACATTCTCAGGTGGAGGGCTGGATTTGGTCTGGGGATCACTGTTTGTTGAACCCTGGTCTACACCATCAGTGGAAAGAAAGTTAACGAGTCAGCCAGTTGGTTATTGCTGAAGGAATCCACGTTATAAACAGAGTGATTAACTTTCTAACTGGGAGAACAAAGTGTTGCTAAGAACTTTTTAATACTAATTTTGAAACATCTTCTTGTCCCCATATTGGCATCCTTTAAGTTGTCAAATCTTTGTCCTTAACTTTCGTTTTTTACTAGTTCAGTAAATGAATGGGGATAGTAACAGGAATTCTTTCTTAGGTTGATATGAGG